ATGTCTGGCAAGTGCTCTGCTACCGAGCTGCCCCCATCAGCCCCAGGCAGAGAGAAAGGGAAGAGTACAAGGTAAAGTGCCACGAAGCTGGCTGTGCTTCCTGAGCTTCAGCTGCTTTTCCTTTTCGTTGTCCTTGTTGCTTTTGAGAAAGGGCCTCAGTATACAGTTCACGCTGGGCTTAAGCTCAGTGCACAGCCCAGGCTGATCGCGAACTTGAGGTGACCCTTCTGCTTCAGCCTCCCAAGTGCTCGGATGGCAGCCACGCACCACTTTCCTCAGTGCTGTGAGTGAGCTGCGCCGTTTACATACACTGACCCATTTGTGTCCGCCCAGAAGGTCAGAGTTTGTTGAATATCAGTCGATCAGCAAACGACATCAGCTTCCTTGGCTTTGCTTGATGAGCATTGCAGATCCCACTTGGAGCGTGACCAGGACAGTCACAGGTTGTGTATTCCAGCTCCACCTGAATCACTGACATCGACAGCGTGCCAGCCACGCGGCACACCTCAGCAGGTGTGTGAGGCCGTGGAGGCTGGGGAGGCGTGAAGCAGGCGCGGGGTCGGTCCGCAAGCAGAGTCATCACTGCAGCTCAGTGAAGGGGGAGGAGCCGATGCCCCGTGTCAGGTGCAGGGCCCAGAAGGCCGTTGTGGACAGGGCAGCCCCCTAGGGAGGAGGGGACACGGGCAGGAGCTCTTCGCCTGGCCACCTCCTGGGCAGCAGGAGAGACGCGTGCCTGGCGTGGCCCCGGGTGTGGCAACAGCAGGTGCACCCTGCTGCGGTTTACGTGTCTCTCCCTCTGCGTGTCCTGGATGAGGTGATGGCGCGGTGTCTGGCCGGGCACACCAAGCACCTCTGACAGCATCTCCTGGTCAGCGCTTTCTAGACCACAGTAGCTAAGAGCGCAGTCTCAGCAGCAGACAGGGTGGAGGCCTTGGAGGGAGAGGAGCTGGGTGCCAGGGTGTGCGTGGAAGTTAGAACAGATTATTACAGGACGAGAGACTGCCACAAGCCTCCCTCCAAGCCCCTCCCCTCTCTCGGAACGCGCTCCTCCCGTGGGCCCTGCCGCTTTCCAAAGAGCCTCTGCAGCCCTCGTTCCTGCGCGGCCTCACACGTTGTGATGAAAAAGACAGTGAGTGCCCCTGATAGGAGCCATCCAACAGAAGGGCGGGCTGCTAAAAACAGTCCTCCCAGAGCTGACACGGGCACTCCGGGCTCGTCCCCGAAGCCAAAATGACCACAAAAGGTCAGCAGCGTGAGTTAATCCGGGCAGCCAGGACACACAAAGACACTGAGGGCAGAGGACTCCGACGGCCCCAGGCAGTGGCGGGAAAGGAAGGAGAAGTGTGTCTGAGGGAAGGGAGGGTGCTGAGGACGCTGGCAGTGTGTCTTTCATTGTAATGAGAAGTGCCCCCCCCACTCTCATCGAACCTTGTCTCCCTAAGGAGGCGGCTGGCCTGGCGGGAGGGAGTGTGTGTGAGTGTGAGCGCACGTGTGAACATGTGTATGTGTGTGTGTTCGAAGACAGGCCCCCCAAAGCAGGCAGGCAAATAAATAAATAAAGTAAAACCTTGGTTTACAAGAATAACTTGTTCCACTTATAATCCAAGGCACTTGCATATCAAGGCAGAGAGAGGGAGACAGACAGACAGACAGACAGACAGACAGACACTGGGCGTGACACGCGACTCACACTGCAGGGCATCGCTTGCTTATCAGGTTGAAAGTGCTTAGAAACGCCGGCTCCCCTTGCGGAGTGCCCCCCGCCGGACCAAGCCATGCAGAGTCTGAGGTGGAGCCGTGGCACAGACAGAAAAGCGCTGTGCTGCCGAGGGCAGAGCCCGCGGGGCCTGTCTGCGTCACACACCCAGCGCCAGGGCAGCGACAGGAGACGTCCAGGGCCACACGGGGGCAGTGAGCAGCTCTGTAGGAGTAGGCAGGCCAGCTTGGTGGGCACAGAAAGGACCACCTGGGGCCAGGATCCAGGCTGTGGAGGAGCTCAGGGAGGGCGAGGCAGCCGGGTCGTGCAGGCCTTGGGGACCCGTGCCCTGGATTGCCCAGGACGTGGCTCTGATGATAAGCCTCAAGCGCCCTGCTCACCGCCACGACTGCAACATGCACACAAATGGTGTGGATGTCGGGGCCAGGGGTGCAGCTCCCGCAGAGCCTGTCCCTGACACCGGGCCTCCACCAGCCTGGGACAGACAAAGGCACAGCTGTGCAGGAGGGGAGACCGCACTGCCTCGAAACTCTCCCCTCCATGGCCCCAGGTCACCAGGCTTTCTTGGCACACATGTGAGTGCCCATGCCAGCACCTGCACCAGGGCTGTGCTGCTGGGGCCCCGCAGCCGTGCGGGAGCCTGGGAACCGCTGCGGCTCTGGCCTCGCTGTGCTCCGCCTGGGCCCCAGCCAGCAGTCGGGCCGTGCTTCGGAGCTTCAGCAGCTGGGATTTCATCAGAGGCAGGTGGGCTCAGGGTCTGTGTGGGGCCAACACCTGCACTTCTAATAAACCCAGCCGCGCTGGCACTGCCATCACCATGGTCACAGGAGACGTGAGGAGCAAGGGGGCCGGTGGCTCAGTGCCCCCCTGTGTGCGGATCCCCGAGTGGAGCGGTGAGTAGAACTGGCCGTGCGTGAAGTCTCCTCCGGCAGGGTGACGTGTAGATCGTGTGTCTGCAGGCATCTTGTGACCCAGTGCAGCTGCTCTGCCCTCTCTACAAGAGAGGAAGCTGATGCTGCCGACAGGTGGCCCCAGGCCAGAGCCACGGCCCTGCTGTGTCCCCTACCTAGCTCGCGGTCCCCCGCCCAGCAACCCCAGGAGCCCCGCCCACGCCCCTCCTCCCCGTGTCCTTGCTGTGACTCAGACCCAGAGCTTTGTGCCCAGGTCACGGTCTCTGAATAACACCTATGTGGTGTGCGGAGCTCGCCTCCCTCCCACCAGGGCCAGGCGAGGCGTGGGGACGGATCCCAAGCAAGACCAGGGCCTTGGCGTTGGCAGCAGAAAGAACAAATGAAGGTAATGCCCGGAGGGGGATTTGTGGATGTCTGTTTCTGTTATTCTTTAAACCTTAGGTTTCCATTTTCTGCCAACTCATTACCCAGAGCTTGAGGTTTTGGTCATCAGTGTTCTTATGTTTTGTTCTTGGGGGTCCGGGACCGAACTCCTGCCCTATGCAGGCTGGGTGTGCACCCAGGTCCTGAGCTCCACCCTGGCCCCAGCTGCCGGACAACCAAGACTGTTTCTTCAGCCTGTTGTGAAAAGATGCCCTGACCCACAGCTAGACATTTTGTGTTTTGAAGAGAGGACTTTCTAGACCCCAAAGCAGAATCTTTAAAGATGGAGCCAAAGGCAAGAGTACTGCTTCTCGTTTCCTAAGGAACTGGCTACCCTCACCGTAACCCCCTACCCTAACCCTCACCTCCTAGCCCTAATCTAACCCTGGGGTTCTGACCAGGAAAACCAACTAAGCTTCGGGTGGGGGCTGGGCCAGGGTGGCATCTGCAGCCCTGAGGATGCGCCACACTCTTCAGGGCTGCTGTTCCTGGAGGTGAGGACCTGGCCAGGAGAGCAGGACGAGGAGAGCCGGACAGCGCCAGGGACGCATTCCCCGTGGCTCCGGGCCGACGCCCCCTTCCGTGATGTACAGAGGCGGAAGCAGCCACCTTCCTCTGGCTTCCCCCACGGCGGCTTCAGTTCTGCCCCTTCCTGGGTCAGGGCTTTCCAGCCTCCTGTGAGCAGCTGTGCTTTGGGGACAGTGACACGGTGCCTCCAGCGAACTCTCGTTCGGTGCAAAGCTCAAGGTGGACTCGGCCTTCACAAACTGCTGCGGCCCAGACACCTGCGGCCCGGTCCTGCTCGCCTGTCCCTGGGACTGCCCTGTGCTGCTGGGCGGGATCTCCACGCACCTGTTACTCAGCCACCCTCACTTCCGTTGTCAGGAGTCGCGTCAAGAAAGCGCTTCAGTTTTTATGTACGTGTCTGAAGATGAGAAACCTCTCGTAGGTGTTTTTGTTCCCTGCCATGCATGAGATATAAAGGAGGAGAAAACCCCAACACTGCATTGAATGGATGAGCTGAAGTTTATCAAGGATCCATAGGCCAGACACTGTGCTACACTTGCTAACTTTTAATTTCTAACCCTCCCAACCTTGTCAAGTAGATGTGCCTATTTTACAGATGGGGAGACTGGGGCCTGGGGAATTTAAGTCATTTGCCCAAGCCATAAAGTAGTACTCAGCACAGCAGGAAACCTAAGTCTAGTTCCGTTTCCTGAGCCAGGGCTCTTGTCGGGAGGGGCGGTGCTATGGTGCCCAGGCTGGCCTCCAATGCCGGGCTCAGGTGGCCTCTTCCCTCAGCCCCCAAATAGCCAGGACACAGATGTGCACCACCACCCTGGCCCAGGCTTTCCGACCATCCCTGTTAAATAAGAGGGCTCTCTGCCTCAGCCCACCCTGGGCTCCTGAGGCACACCAGCACACACATGTGTGCGTCACAAGTTAGGGGCCACCTTCTCTCGTACTAATTTTTATTTCTTTTGAGAGCCTGCTGGCTGTTACAAATGGCTAACCCCTACAAACCCAGCACCCTGCTTCTGTTTGTTTATTTATTGATTTAATTGTTTATTTATCTGGGGACAGCGTCTCTCTGTGAAGTTTAGGCTGGCCTTCAACTCACCATGCTACCTAGGCTGGTCTCAAACTCGAGCTCATGGTGATCCTCCTGCCTCAGCCTCCTGAGTGCTGGGCTTACAGGCATGCGCCACAGGCACGGCTGGCTCTGTTTAAAGACACCCTCTCCCTCCACGAGAGAGCACCTCCGAGTTCCTCTTTCACGGATCTTCCTGCGAGCACGGCACTGGCTTGGGTCCGCTCAGCCTCACCCTTCAGAGAAAGCCCAGGCCCTGCACACCCAGGACCACAGGTGGAATAAACACAAAAGGCGGCGAGAATCGTCTAAATTTAAAGTGCTGGAAAATCCAACATTTTATTGACTACATTTCGGTGACTACATAAATGCTGAAACATTTTAACACTGAAAAGCATGATGGGTCATCACTTGCTTTTTTTTCTTTTTTTTCTTTTTTGCTTAGCAAACACAGCAGATGCTATTGCACGGCGTAAAGCGAGGACAGTAGCGAAGCTTAAAAAAAAGAACAAAACCAAAGGAAAGAAACCTCAATGCGGTACAGGAGCTATGGGAACAAAGCTGGAGGGCGCCCAGCACCGCACGCCCCGCTGCTGCACCCCAACGTACAGAAGCATCAGACAGGACAAAGTATCCGCGAACAACCGTAACGGGTACAATAATCATTTCGTCTGAAACGCAGATTCGACGTAGGAACTACCACTGCTTCCTAATTGACAAAGAAAACGACAGCAACGTTTGTCTTTTATCAAAAGTCTTCTAAGCCCCTCCTGGGTAGGTTTTTAATTCATTATTTATTATGTTTTTCATTGCTAAGGAAGAACTCCCTTTGCTCGTGAAAGATTTTTCTATCCTACTATCTTTTTATTTTGTTATTATTATTATTATTTTTTTACCTGATGATTGTCTTAGGCACCCTCCTTACATCATAAACCATCAAGCTAACTTGAACAGGGAAAGCGAGTCACACTCAAACAATAGCTCAGGTCAGAGGTGTGCTGGAAATGGGCTCGGGGAGAAGGGGCGGGGCTGGGGTGGCGGGCTGACTCGGGCTGGACACTGAATACAGGGACATAGGAAGACAACTACCAAAGCAAGCGGAAGACGGTGTTTTAAAGTTTATTTTTTAAAAATATACTCGTCACTTGGTTCAGGTGGCAAATCTAAAATGAGTCTACAGCGATGATGCCACAAATGCAGAACACAGCACGAAGAGATCCAGACAAACGTGGGAACAGAAGCGGTGACCTGGTGGGTGCCACTGCTCCGTGCGGGACCCCCACGCCCGCTGCTGGGGGGGGCCACCCTGCACTGCACACGTCGGAGACACGAGGCCTTCACCAGTGTCGCCAGCACAGCACACAGCGGAAAGTTCTAAGGAGATGCGGCTTCTGAGCAGCGGCCTACGCCCACCCCAAGCACACCTGCAGAAGGGAGGGAGAACCGGGCAGGGAGTGGGGCGCTATTTACACTCTGTGGGCGGCAGGCGGCTCGAGCAACTGATTTCAGCCGAGGAAACTGAGCAGCAGGCCGGCTCTCCCTCCTGAGGAACTGCGTGCGAAGGCAGACCAGGGCTTGCCTGCCTCGCCGGGCTGCCAGGGTTCTCTCCAGCGGGCAGGGCAGGGAGAGGGACGTACGGAGCACAGCTCCGCCGCCGCCGCCCCTGAGGTCGTGGGGGCCTGGGGCAGCAGGGAGGGGCAGCAGCGGGCAGCAACAGGCCCGCGAGACTTTGAAGCACTGAAGTCAGAACTGCCCGCTGAGGCCAAGCAGCCGTGCTTGGCTGCTTCTGGCAGGAGCCCCGAGTCGCGAGCGGCCCCAGCTTCCTCCCAAGGCCCCCAACCAGTTGTTCTCCACTTTACCCAGGAAGGGCTGGGTCCCCAGGCCCCGCCCGGAAGCAGTCAGAAACTTGGGGAAACGTAAGCAGATTTCCGAATTCAAGTTAGCTTGTCTCTACTTTTCATACCCGTGAGAATGGCTAAAAGAAAACAAGAAAGAACCAAAGTATCTATCTCCCAAATGCCGGGGATTTGAACCGAGAAACATGTCCTCAGTTCTCTGGAATTTCGGGTCTTGCCTCTGAAATCATTTTCTTCCTAAAAATTAGTAACCTAGAGGAAAACATGGATAATGCCTCTCTCTGAGTGACAGAAAAATGAGCTGGGTCTGCTCACGCGGCGCTGGCAGGAAGCCCAGGTGCCTGCTGAGAGAGCCGAAGCCACACCCTGCAGGAGACCCCTGCCCGCAGCTTGTCTCAGCACTGAGAACCAAAGATTGCAACGTAAATCTCGGCCGTTTTGCCTCTACTATATACATTTTTAAAACTACGCAGTCATAAATTAAAGCAGTGATTAAATAAGCTCATATAAAATGTAATTAAATTAAAAAAATCACAGCACATCATAGAGAAAAATAGGAACCAGTTTCACAAAAAGGTTATATATATTTATATATATATATTTATATATATATTTTTACCCTGTGGAAACAAATTTTCTACAAAACACAAAACCTTTGTAAGTAACTGTCCGAACGAAATTCTTATTCCATCTTTGCATTTTTACACAACCCTAAACCCATCTGGGGGACATTTCCAGAAATTAAGTCTTCCTTGAGCAGTTCTCCCGAGAAAATAAACCCCAAACCAAGGGAGGAGGGGAGGGAACATCTCGAACATACAAACTACAAAATAAATAAGAATTATAAAGTTTTTCTTAAAAGTAACCTTAACAGTTATCAAACTAGTAAGTTCTGCCTTATCACATAGACTCTCTATACAACGTAACCCTAGACTTTATTACTATGAGGTATTTGGAGGAATTGGTAAAGGTGACACACGGCTCGCCTGGTGAGGGACCAGGGACGGAGGACCGGGCGGGGACAGGAGGAGGAGCTCTGAGTTATCAGCAAAGCTCTGGGTGGGGAAGTCATCCTTTGGTATCAAAGCAAGTTTCATTGCATGGTTGCATGGAAAAAGCACCACGGTGAATAATTATTCCTTTTTTTTTCATTAGTGGCCTTTCTAAGAGGCTGAGGTATTCAAAGAGTATAAGGAGAGAGAGGTTAACAGCGGTTTAACACTTTGGTTCAAGCAAGGCACTCATCCTAGGAGTTACAAAGTTTGCGACGTATTTGCTAGAGATTTATAAGAAGAACTAGCAGTCGTAAGAGTAGTGTTTCCTAACGGTGTTGTTGTTATTGTATCATTATTCAGAATGAAGTCGAGTTGTACACTGAGTGAGAGGGGGCGGGAGGTACGGATGGGGCAGGACAGGACGGGACAGGGTGGAGGTCCCTCTGCAGACGAGGCCGTGCACGAAAATATCTTTGGTATTCTTTGGTATCATCAATGTGATTAAAATCACCAATGGAAATCGAGTGAGGTAGCGTCTTTGGTTCACACTATAAATAGTAGATCTTTACATTTTTTTTTTTTAACACATGGAAGTAGCTATTTCTTACCTTCTGCTTCTTTGTCCTTTGACTATTTAGGAAATAGTTACCAGATGTAGGTAAAGCTAACCACACCACAGTAATATCCAGAAGGCCCAATGCGTCTCAGAACAGCCTCTGGCATTTGAATGCACCCTAAACAACTAGATAGAAAAGGGAGAAGTGCTTTCTCTTTGTTTGCTAAATGCATAGATTTCATCCTTTATGTACAAAGAAGGGGGGAACAGGTTTTAGGGAAAATGCCCCTAGAGCACATGGGAAAATGTCCTAAGACTCTTTGGTATAGCGGTTTGCATTTAACCTGCAAAGACCTGTCTTCGGGGGGTGGCGCAGGAGTGGAGGGAGTCCGAACATAGCACAGCTTTCTGTGGTCCTGGAAAAACACCAGGCTTTTCTGGGGGTGCCATGAGCGGGCGACACCTCAGCCAGGACTTCCACACGTCCACACACATTTTCTTTCGTCTATGGGGTCTATGCCAGGGACCGAGATTCCCAGTTCCTGATACCCAGATCTCCACCTGATCTCCTCCTGAAGTCCAGACTTTTAGGGTGTCCGGACATCACCCCTCCTGGCCCTCTTTCAGGTAAGCTTCCTGTCAGGAGAAGACCTGAATGGGTTATGGCAAAAACACACTAACTTCCATTCTACCAAAAAGAGAGATTCGAAGTGCTGTTTTGTAATTAACAGCCGTGTAACTGAACGAGTGAAGTTCCTTTCTACGATGAATTCTGCTCCTTGATTGAATGAGTGAACAGATAAACCCATGATCTGGCTGCTGTATGTGGGAGATTAAAGAACAGGAGCTGAAATAAACGGTACACGGAGCCGCTTCTGGGGACGGAAGCCAGTTCAGAAGCAGTGGTGTATTGCTTGTGTGGGGCTGAATCTGCCCACTATGATTTCAACAAAGCAAAGCTTGGGAGTCTGTGTAGTCAAGTAAAAAGACGGGTCCAGGCTCTGAGTTGTGCCTCTGTCTGTGAGAAAATATATTTCTAGGCCCTGAAATTGTGTAAAGGGTGCAAATTCAATGCCGGTATGAAAATCATCTTTGGTGTTAGCAAGCAGGGTAACTGGTTTTTTAAAAAAAAATTATGGTAGGGTATTTAAAATGTAGTACTACTCCTTTAGACTGTACCTACCCAGCACCAAAATCATTGGCTGAAAATAATGTGATTGAATTAATTCGGGGAGAATCTAATAAAAACAAATGGAGGGCGTTTGAAATCAGTTTTTGTTTTTCCTGGGGTGGTGAAATCAGGTACATTGTGTGTGTAGACACAGTTTGAATTTCCCTGGATGTGATATTCTCATATTTTAAATAAATAAGGCTTTCCTCTCTCCGAAGTTATAAATACATTATGCAGCTATACTCCCAGCTCTCTCCATTCCGAGAAAACAAGTCACGTTTTCCTTTCTGTTACGTCATTGATAAGATTCTATTTTTAGGAAATCTTGAAAGGAGGTCTTTGGAACAGCCTATTAATAGCTGAACTAGAATTGTGCCATATTTAGAAGGGGAAAATTTTAGCTGGAGACTTGGATGAAATAAAAAAAATATGAAGACCAACTCCTACATGTCAGGGCAAGCAAGGAGAAGCAGGTGTTGCTTCCTCCAGAAGCAAGGACAGGGCCGGCTTGTCGGATTCCTGACACCTCTCCGGCCCCGCCCGCGTGCACCTAGGTGGATGTGGAGATCTGACCTTCAGGAGCTAGGCTTTGTGTCGAAGTGATTTCGTGTTTTTGCTTTGGCATTTTACTGAATCTCAGTAAGCACCTTACTGAGTTAGAACTTTTAGTTTTCTAGTTCCAGTTAGGTCTGATCACTGTCTGAGAGTGTCGCATGTGTGATTCAGCTGATTGCGGAGAGCCTGTGGGAATCGAGTGACTCACTGGGTACCACTAGGGCCAGATTTTTTCTTTTGCCTTGATGTATAGACCACTCCCCCACGTGAGTGATATGAAGAAACAGAAATTTAAAACTTCATATTTGGGAGCTCAGGTCTAGCTTTTTATCTGTCTCTGTTAGAGTGGAATCTGTGTTATAAAATTTCCAGCTTTGTCGAGCAGCAAGAAAGAATGCAGTAGGCTTCAGAGGCTGTGCTGAGTGGAGTAAACTGCTTCATTGTTGATGGAACCAAAGGGCTTATGTGCCCCAAAATCTGGCTTTTTCCATGCAGTTCCACCGGCTGACCAGTTCTTGTTAGCACCTGCTGTTTTACAGATGTTCTAGTCAGTGCCTGGGATTGGCAATAAATCTGTTTCATTACTTTTTAGGATGGTTACAAAATACTGGACAACTAATTTAATTTAATTTAATTTGAGATTGGGTCTCTTCTCTAGGTTGCACGGGAAGATCTTGAACTCTTGGGCCCAAATGGTCTTCCTGCCTCAGCCTCCTGAATAGGTTGGACTACAGGCACATGCTACTGTGCCTGACTCAGACAATTAATTTTAACAGTAATATTGATCTGGTCACTCCATGTTTGCAAAATATTTTTAAAAGGCATCTGGTGCCAAGTACATAAAACAAATTTGAGTGAAACTAATGTAAATTCTTATTGGTTGGTCTTTTGCTATAAAGCATCATTCTGAACAAATTCTCTAATTCAGTTACCTGCCTTGTTAGACAGATCTCTTGCGTATGAGTGGGTTCCTGCTTTGGAAGTACCCCGGGTTTTCTTGGTCGTGAAAAGAGGACTGCAACATGCTAAGCAGGTGACATGTGTAAGCGGCCAGCTGCATCAGGCTCTCTGCCATGGAGGTCTCCGGTTCACTGAAGCTACATTCTTTCTTGCCAGTTCTGAAAACTCCTATTTCAAATGCCTCAAGAATCATAAATTATAATCGTGAATCTACGTGGTATGTGTGTTAAGCTAGATCAGTTCATACGTATAACTTTACATAGTATCTTGTGTAAAAATAGCTTTGGTTATTAAAATCGTTGCAATAAAATACCTGCACTATAATATTAAGTGTGTTCTTTGGTACCTAGGTGATTTTTTTTTTTTATGGATGGACTCTTGTTTCATTTCTTAAAAAATATCTGAACACTCCTTAACAAACAAAGAGAATGCACTGGTTTGGGTGCTGTTCAAGTGTTGGGTGGGTCTGAATCCGGGGCCGGGCGGTGGTCCGGCAGGTTCCGCGCACTGCTGCCCAGCGGGTGATGTCACTCCCGGTCCACCGGCCCCTTCCTGACCACCGGCCCTGCCTGAGTCCCCATCACAGCGGCGTGCGTGCGTGCAAGAGTGTGGACACGCGTGCACACCTGCACACAGTACCGCGACACCAGACACCTTTGCGGCGTGGGGGACCAGACGAGAAGGTCCGGTCCTAACGAGGTCCACCGGGCGGCCCGGAACCCAGATGCTCCGGGCCGCTCTGTGGCCGTGTGCGTGCGGCGACAGCCGGGGCTGCGGGTGCGAGGGGCTCGGCGACCCTGCCCGCCTTCTCGTGCCACACTGTCGCCCGCCGAAGTGTGTGTCTCCGAGCAGAGTCAGGTGAGCTACGTCTTTGGTTTCTTTGGACTATAAATATCGCTTTTCTTCTTCAAATATTTCTGAGTATAAACCTGCTATCTGGAGGTCCTGGTCCTTAAAAATCTTCTCTCTTAAATTTAAAGCTTTTCCACCGAGGTTCGAGTCCCTGGCTCCCGTCAAGCTTTGGTGCAGGCGCTGGAGGAGGAGGAGCCCCCGGAGGCGGCGCTGGCCTCGTCCTGCCATTTGTCCAGACTCCGCCGCCGCGCATTCATGAAGAAGTTGCTCACGGTGCTGAGCTCCAGCCCCAGCTGCTGGGAGATGGTGATCTGCAGCTCCTTGGACGGACGCTTGTTCTCCTTGAATATCGCGTGCAGAGTTCGGCGCTGGACGTCGGTGAAGACCAGCCTGGGCTTTTTCGGCGTGTTGCCTCGATCCTTCCCGTGCTCCTGCTCTTTCCTCTTGCACGCTGCAAAGGAACACGGGACGGCATTAGAACAAGTCCCCGGGGCTGCGAGTGCAAGGCCAGACCGGCCGCGCCAGCACCCTTCCCCAGCCTTGCAGGTTCCCCGTCTGCTGGCCGGGGGCCGGGTGGAGAGCGGACACCGGCGGCTTTCTCTGGGAGGCTGGTGCCCCTCAGGGCTCTCCTCCATGGGCCCTGGACCAACTGAGCTGACCACCTGGAACTTTATTTCCCCATCTGCAGAACGGAAATAATATGTGCTGGGCGCGGCCGCACTGCGTGAGGCTGAGGAGAGGGTTGTGAGTTTGGGGACAGCCTGGGCAGCCCAAACAAAGCAGGAAACCAAGCAAAACCTAAGCATACTTACCCTGTGGGACTGTGGCACACGCAGCATGTGTCACAGTGCACGCTAACTGAGGTACTTTACAGATGCAAGGTGTGAGGTACCACGGAAAACTACGGCAAATGTTTAAATAGTCTAATTACGGTAAAGGACACCTTGCTGCGAACCCGCCTCACAATCTCCCCGAGCACACTCACCCGTCATTCTTGCCTCTTTCTGAAGCAGTTCCTCAAGTCCTCTCTCATCTTTTAGCTGCGCCGCCGTGGCTGCCCTGATGTCCTGAATGGATTTAGATGTTTCCCTTTCAGGGTCATCTTGACTGTGGGGAAAGGTGAGGCGTGGCATGGGGCAGGGTCTGGTGACTAGGCTGGGTGAGGGTTGAGTTTTTGTGAGCTTGAGTTTTTACGGGCTGCCTTTCTTTGGACGGTGCTCGGCAACTGCAGTTACTGTAAATTTGGTCACTTTGTGAAGACTCTGGAAGAGGACTCCAGAACTGCCCGGAGGGTGGCCGGAGCCAGGGGCCAGCTGTGTTTGGAGCAGGGGAGCACTGTGGGGAGGTGAGCCGGCTGTGCCCCTCACTGCAGTAAGGCTTTCACAGGCAAACGCCCCTCTGACCACGCCTCACGTATCAGCAGGAGCTGACTGTGGCCCTCAGAGGGTTTGCAGTCTGCTGCTGCGGCCAGAATGCCCAGTCCAGCTGACGGCGTAAACGCCTGACAACAACTGCTCTGTTTCCCCAGTTTTACTGCGTTCCGGAAGGCCTGCCCCCACGAGCCCGTGTCTGTGGCCCTCCCCAGCCGGCCCGCAGTCCTCCCTGGGAGGTCCCCCATGTCCCCTCCTGGCCCCCGGCTGTCCCAGGGCGCCTGTCCTGAACCCTGCACACGCCCTGGCGGTGGCTCGGCCTCTCCACTCCTCTCCAGGCTGCCCCCGTCAGCCCTGCCCACCTCAGGGCACCCGGGGCCGCACTGTCAGCCGCATCCCCACGCCCAGGTGGTGTTAGAACAGCTGCGCCCCGACTCCCACGGCGCGGGGCGCCGCTCTTGGCCTAACACAGCCACAGGGGACAGCCGCGCCATCTCCCACCCCACAGCGAGAGTGGTGCCACCGGCTAGAACAGTCCCGGGGCCCCCACGCCTCACCTGCTGCCTGGGTTCCACACCCCAGGGTCCACTTGAGCACACTGGCTCAGCCCTGGACACGCTCAGAGCAGCAGCGGAAGCTGAAGACGCCTCCAGTCTTTGGAGTCCAGGCAGAGGGTCTCCAGGATGCTTCTGCAACCAGTGCACGCTCCTGAGCAAAAGACGTGTCAGAGGCTGGCGCTCAGTGGCAGCAGCCTGGTGGCAGCAGGTGCTCAGCATGCGGGGCTGGGTCAGGTCCCCAAGTAAGCTGGGCAGTGCCCGTGCCCGCGCTTCCTGGTCACTCACTCACACCGTCGGGCCAGGTGTGGCAGCAGGGTGCCAGCTCTCCAGGGGCTGTGAGGGGACAGAGGTGCTGCAGGTTTGCTGGACAGGAAGTGGGTCTCGCGCGCAAAGGGGCCACAGGTATGCAGGACAGGGACTGCAGGCCGGCTGGGGCCGGCGGCCCAGACGCGGCAAGGAGGCTGGCGGAGGGAAGTGGGTGACGGGCGGCTCGGGGCAAGGCCGAAGTGTGGTCCAACGTGGGCTCAGTGAGTCCCTCCGGCGGTGGTGGCGGGCAGAGCTGGAGGTGACGGGCACTGGGGCGCTCAGGCCCACAGCTGCTGGGAAAGCGGTGGCTGGCTGCTCCCACCGAGATCCACTGTGGAAACCCCTTGGCCAAAGGCTGTGCCACCCAGCGAGGGGGAGGGGCTGCGCACACCAGGAGACAAGAGGCCAGGGAGATGTGGGGATGCAGGGGGCTGGTGACCCCCGGCCGGCACCGGGGAGGGGACACTCTGAAGAGTCACCCGGGCCACAGCACCTGTGTGCGGCTGAGGTCACCCTTCCAAATCCACAGCAGCTCCACGGACGTCTCCCCTGTCGCCTACAGCCAACACCAAGGCCCTGATCTGCCAGTCTCAGAAAACCTGACGTAACAGCGAAGCCAGCCAGGAAACACGATCATGGGCCCCCAGGAAGGCGGAGAAACACTTTCAGGAGATAAAACTGGAGCCCTCAGGGACACGGGGCTGGGAGAGCAGAGTTCAGCGTTGGCTTTGGGCTAGACAGGCGCACTGGCCGTTTCCGAGGGCAGCGGTGACTTCTGCGTCGGATGAAGTTCAGGTGTCCGCCTGCTAGATCTGTCCACCACGCCAGGGCAGTGCTGAAGGAAGGCCGGGAGAGGCTGTCTCACCTGCTCCGGATGGCTTTGTGCTGGTCCTCAGGGGACCCACGGGCTGCAGCTGCCCAGGCGGCATTTTCCAAATGGCATCAAGGGGTAAGGGCCCCTCAGAGGCCCTCTGGAAAGACGGTGGGTGCAGGACATCTAGGGAAGCCGATGACAAGTGGCCTCCTCTCGACTTCAGGAGCGCGGGCAGGTCCTCTGCTTCCCCCCTTCACTCAGCCCTGCGCCCGTCTCGGGTGGCTGTCTGTCTGTGACGTCTCTCGGGTGCTTCGGTCGGGAAGCTGCTGCCCAGGCCTCCAGCGCTGAGCACGCCACGGTGCCGCGACCTGGTTGGGGCCTGGCTGCGTCCTGTGGCGGGGCTGAGGGGGGACCTTGGATCCCACGTGGCTGTTGGGAGTGGCGACCGAGCAAGCAGATGTGGCCACATCTGGAGAGAACCCCGTGGATGGTTCGGCTGCCAAGTAAGAGCAGAGAATGGGGTGAGGAGACCGACGACAGCCATCCGCAGTCCCGGCGACCGGAGGGGCAGAGGAGAGGCGAACCGCAGGAAAGGGCTGTGCTTCCAGCAGCTTCCGCAGGACCGTCGCTGTGGGGCCTCCGGGAGAGCCTGGATGAGGGTCGGCCACGCTGAGGGAGAACTGCCGAGGAGGGGGCTGGGGTCCACACAGCATGCAGGGAGAGAGGAGAGGCGACCGAGGGCAAGCGCCACTGCTGGGGACGCCAGGCAGGGGCTGTGTGCGCAGTGCTTCCTGTGAGGCCCGTCCGGCGTGCCAGGCCTGAGGATGGGTGCTGCGGAGGTGGGCAAGACTGAGGAGCAGGGAGTCCGTGGGGGGCTCCTCTGTGACAAGTGGCCAGCGCGACACGGAGGGCGCGGGTGCCCACGGCGCAGAGGGCAGAGGCAGCTTAAAGGGCGGTGCAGCCGCGGCTGTGCGTGACAGGGACGGAGGGAAGAAATGGGGCTGCGGCAGAGCGCAGAGGCCTCCGCGGCAGGCCTGGCTGGCGGTGTCCTTCACCCACCGTGGCCGCGGCGGAGCCGAGCGTGGTTCAAGAAACGAATCCAGAGAGTGTGGCGGTGCACGCCCGTAACCCAGCACCGAGGGAGGCTGAGCCAGGAGGATCCGAAGTTTGAGCCCCGCGCCAGCCTGGGCAGTTTAGTGACTTAGTGTGACCTTGTCTCAAAATAAAAAATTGTAAAAGTTGGGGATGCAGCTCAGAGTCAAGGCCCTGGGTTCAATCTCCCGTACTGCAAAGAAAGAGAGGAAAAACAAAACAAAACAAAACAATGAAAGGAAGGAGGGATGGAGGGAGGGAGATCTGCAGGACTCTGAAAGGACTCTGTGAGCGGTGAGTTGCGAGATCAAGGCAGCTTGGGAATACTGTGTTAAGTGACACGTTTCTCTAACGCAGGACTTCTTCAGAGCCGTTAGTACGGGAAAGTCAACCGCCTTCTCTAGCTTACGGGACCCCCAGCTTCTTCGGTCACAGAACTGTCGACTCGGGGATTTCTCTCCTGTTAGAGCTGCATTTCCGGGTGTAACTGGAGACCTGCACTGGGCAGTGAGCTGCTCCCGACTGCAGCAAGATCAGAGCAGGGGAGCGACAGCAGGGAGCGAGGTGCTGCTGTGATCGGAGGTGCCATTATCTTTCTACTAAAACACTTTTTTTCATCATATTCTCGGAAAGGCTGGTCCAGGACAGATGGAAATCGGAAACCAACTGTATGGCTGTGTGAGGAGGTCCCCAAGGGCCTCCTGTGCTCACAGGCCGGGTTTCTGGATGGTCATGGGGCTATGGGGGCTCATAGCTTGTGGGGGCCTGTCAGAAGAGGGGATTGCTGGGGGCATGGCCCGGGGGTGCACCTCTCTTTCCCCGGCTCCCCCTTCACCTCACCCCGCTTCCTGTCTTCCACGCTGTGAGCAGCTCTCCTCCGCCAGGCCCCGTGCACGGCCATCCTGCCTCGGGCTGGCCAAAATAAACCTCCTGTAAGCTGTGGCTGCCGAGTGTTTTGTTGAGTGATGAAGACAGTGACCACGGCAGGTTTTGGTGCCAGAGCGGGGGTCGCTGCTGCCATGCTGCCCTGCGACCCGTGGCCCGAGAGCCTCTGGGACTGGTTCCCTGGCGGCGTTTGGAAGGGTTTGGAGACACAGGCTGGAGAAGCTCTGGAATGCTGCAGGCGGAACTTGACCCGCAGCACTGCTGGGAGCTCTGGAGACCAGAAGTCGACGTCTGCAGGCTGGAGCGCGGCTCCAAGGTGTCGGCTGGAGAGAGGACTCCGCTGGCAGCTGGACTCCAGGCCGTGTGTACTGTGCTCCGGCAGAAGATCTGTGTCCATTTCACTCATGTCTGGGGACTTCAGGAGGTG